ACACAAGCTGCCGTAATTAAAGCTAGCAGAGCTCTGAAAAGACAACTCAAGGTCAGCTTAATTGTACAGACAGATGCTGGTAGCATCTCTCTCACACACACACATGCACACACAAAAACTCATGACAGTTCACTTCTAAACGTGATGACCAGCAACTTTTGTTTAACCCATGGGAAGTGTAAACACACACACACACACACACACACACGCACAGGTGCACGAACCTCTACAGTGAAGGAAAAGTCATTATTCTTCCATTTAATTTATTTCAATAGCTGTAGGACCTCTTCACATCTCTGTGTGTGTAACAGGGATTGTGCACCGTTCAAAATTACTGCCGAAGAACTGCTGTAACTTGAAATAAGTTTATGGCTTGCCAAAATAGGGCCTATGCGTCAGTAAAATGTTTTTGAAAGAAGTCTCTTCTGCTCACCAAGGCAGCATTTATTTGGTCAAAAATACAGTAAAAATGTGAAATATTATTACAATTATATATAATATATAATATAACAAAATAACTATTTGAATATATTTTAAACTGTAATGTATTCCTGTGATCAAAGCTGAATTTCCAGCATCATTACTCCAGGCTTCAGTGTCACATGATCTTCAGAAATCATTCTAATATGCTGGTTTGCTGCTCAAGAAACATTTCTGATTATTATCAATGTTGAAAACAGTTGCGCTGCCCAATATTTTTGTGGAAACTGTGATACATTTTATTTTTCAGGATTCACAGATGAATAGAAAGTTCAAAAGAACAGCATTTATTTGAAATATACATCTTTTGTATCATTATAAATGTCTTTACTGCCACTTTTGATCAATTTAATGTGTCCTTGCTGAATAAAAATATTAATTTCTTTAAAAAAAAAACATCTTAATGAAAAAAAGCCTTTTTAAAGCGGTCTCACATACCTGGATGAGCAGTATGATATTCGGCATTGCTAAGGACGATGGTTGTTATCGGGAAATAACACAGATGGGAATGTCGCGACTGACCAATCAGAATCAAGTATTCCAGATAGCCGTGTAATAAATCAGAACAAATAGACACACTTACACTTAATTGTGTAATTATGTTTATTTGTTCCAATATGAAAAATATGTCATGAAATTTATCAGAAAATTGTGATGAACTAGTCAAAGTGATCTGCGTAGAATTGTTGACTTGTAACTCTGAGTTATTTTAAACTGAATTCAAACTCCTGTGTGTCCTGACCAGCTCAATTCAGATTCACACTTATGATATTCAAGGGAGTCAGTTCTTAAATTCTGATTGTCATTCAACCCTGCTGTGTGAATTCAGTATTAACTTTTCATACAGCGTGAGGAACTCTCTCAGATGAACTTTTCCGTTCCAGTCACCAGACTGTGTTCTGACACTTTCATTTATTTCTGTATATTACAGCTATTGGCAAGTCTAGCATCAGACTGCAGCACCTGGAGCGAGTACATCCCGTCTGTGGGTGTCATTTACTGATGTTTCTTCATTTACACTGGCGTTCTGCCTGAGCCAAGCCATTGCTGAACAGAGCTGAGCGTTTGCCTCTATAATCTGACCATCCCAGCCTCTTCATCTGGGCAACGCCAAACACGCTTCACCTCCACTCACTCTTCATCTGTTCATCCATCCATCCAGAGAAATCCTGTGAAACCCTTCTTGATCATCTGTAGTCCTGCATTAAAGCTGCATTAAAGCTATTTTTTTCTATTTCTATTCTGTTTGTTTTCATGCATTGAAAGACTTGAATCTTTATTAGGATGGGCAAACGGATCCAGACTGAAACGATTTGACAGCCGAGGACAAAAAGGCGCAAGTTAGTTGTCAGGATAACATCAAAGTGTAAAGCAGTATTTCATTTACACAGAACAAAGGCGACTTCAGATGTGTGTCTGATACTGAGCGATCAGATCAGAGCGGCTAACTGTACTGCAGCTTTCATTTGCAGCATTGCACTCAGAGAAACAATTTAACCTTATATTGTGTGTTTTGACCCAGAAACAGAAAATCAGTGGCTGTTGTTGCTTTCTTGGAACTACTGTTCTGGTTGTCAGATCCCTCATGCAAACGTCCACCTACTTTGGAAAGGCTGAATCACGGGTCTGTTGCATGTTTTATTGCAAAAGGCTCACTCCCCTTCTCTGCTGCTGGAAAACGTTAAAATCCCTCGATGAGATTGAAATCAATCATTAGGGGCCTCAGGATTCCCACCTGCCATCTTCACAGGAAGAAGAGGCTGTTCTGGCGGTTTGTGCAGAGCGCAGCTCTAAAGTCTGATTTACTGTCCATGTGGACTCCCGGGTTTATACAACAGCAGTGTTTCCCCACTCAATGACTGGACTTTGGAAAATTAACCACCAACTCCTTTGTCCAGTAGACTCTAAAAAAAAGTCTGTAAAATAGGGCCTAATGTACCGTGTTAATATGATGAATATAATTTTTACAGGCATTTTACCTGTATTTTGAATTTTGTGTTGTGTTTTAGGGATAAAGGAAATGTCTGTAAACTTCACAGAAAAGGTACCGGTAATTTTCTGCCATTTTCCTATGGATTTTTTCTTACAGTGTAGATGTTCAACTGAAGGGTCCTGCACTCTGTCTCATGTGTAAAGCAGACTTTCTGCAGAAGCTCTTTCAGCCAGACTTCTGAGGGTCTGTTTCTTGAGATTCTAGATCTAGTTCTCCTGCACCAGCTTACAAGACTGTTGTAATCATTATATTTGATCTTAGTCCACTCCAGACTTCATTATTCCTTGATCAGTTTATCTCACCTCTCAAAGTTAAACTAAGAGCAGATATATAAAGGTATCTTCTTACTAAAACTTCATGGTGGCTTTTTGTTGAAGCACATTGTCCTTTTGGGACCTGCATTGTTCACAAAAGCTCATCTGTCAGTCACCTGAGGTACATGTCCTGGTCCGTCTCCAAGGAGCTATTTTGCAAAAAGTCCCTTAGCAACCATTTCCTCTCTGTCCTGGTTGTGACAGCATCCACTGAACGATTGGTTTAAATGCAGGAATATGGCACACCTGAATAGGCCAGACATCACAAAGCCAACTGTTTTCTGTGTTCATCTTGAAGAATTGCTTCTGGAGCATGTAGACGCCTGTTTTCATTTCCATTTATTGAGGATATGTCACCACAAGCTTGTGTGAGATTCCATTCAAACTAAATGGGGGCCTTTCGGATTCAGTGCCGTCTTGCTTAATTGGTTGTCTTATTCAGGCTGAACAGTCTGTAGAAAGCTAATGGTGCCACAGACCTTTGTCAGGGTAGTGCCAGATTTAGTTTCTGACGGCAATAAAAACGAGGAAGTGAGGTACTGATGTACGGTGTGTTTAATGGATTGTACTGTTGTTTAACAACATAACAATAATTCAGCTGACGATACGCCTTTTCTGTAAGTCTCTTCCCCACAGCCTCGTTTTCATCCATGTTAAATTCAATTGAAACTGCAATCATAGACTTAGGTCTATAAACGGTGCCATAAAGACTTATCAATCACGACATGTGAGAAACTGTGAAGCCATGCAACTGACTAAAAGGGGCCTAACAGGCCATTTCCAAACTGATGTCATTAAATACATTTATGTGGTTAAAATCTAAAGCGTTTGGTAATGAAATGCATTGCTTGACATGTTAAGTTTGCTAAAGTCAGCATAACAGCCTACATATAGCTAAACAACTGTATGAATACTCTCACAAAAGGTACTAATGGCTGCATTTGCACAATCAGTACTCGATATTTGGGCTCCCGAACATGGCCTGAAGTTTGTTCAAGATTGCCCCATCAGTTGTTCAAAAAACTGCTAGTTGACCACTACCGTTCTTGCTTTAATGAACAATTTAAAATCCATTCACACCAGTTGGGAGTATCAGCTCTCAGTGAGGCACATGAGATTATGCTGTTTGGATTACCCAACAGCCAATGGTCAGTGCAACTATATTACAGCACTCATTTCTATATTATTAAAGTGCAATCCAAGCTATTTTTGTAGGAACTAGCTAGCTAACACATTTGTAAGTCTCTCTGGTTAAAAAGTATTTTCTAAATGAATAAATGTCAAGGAAAATATTTAGCTTCAGTTTAACTTGTTAAGTTCTCCCTTGTGGTTTTTACCCTTGTTCTTCAGAGTAATGTACTTATTTTAATGAGCTTATGGCCATCTAGCAAAGGTTTTATGCTCACCATGTGTATTAAAGTGGTCATTGCACACAAATATCTGACTGCTCAATGCTGCAGTTCACCGGAATTTAATATCTGCTGTTTGTCAGCTGAATTGAGATCCTCGTCACTGAGCTAATTGATCAGTGAGTGTAATTATCTCTGTGCTCGACATCAGGATGAGTTTCTTGATAAATCATTAATGCTGCAGGTTCTCTGTACTTCCCACAAACTGTCTATGTGTGATCTTCTGCATCTCAGTAATTACCCTAACCCGGGTCAAAGTTCATCCTGCGCAGTTACACTAGAAACCCCTCTTTGTAATCGGCTGAAACTCTGAAAGCATCCTGAGAACAGTAGCTATCAGAAACACAGACAGGCATCCAGAAATATCTAAACATCACGACCCCAACCTACACACCGAGGAATCGCACTGACCTCCATGAAGCCATTTCTCAGAAAATCTAATCAATACATTTTGTGAGGCAAATTTTGTAAGAGAAGTACTGTAAGAAATGTTTATTTAAAATGACCGAGGGGGGGGGGAAAGAGCACATTTCTAGAACACATGATGCAAAAGTTATGAGATAACATTTTTCATAAGTGCAATTTTGAATTTTTGACCACATGGACTGCCACTGACTAATAATATAATAAGTGCACAAGCATCTATTCCAAGTTAACATCAAATAATCACATTAGACAAAGTATAGTAATATTTTGGTTATACAGTCCATGCCTATGTGGTAGTACTGCTGTAGCAGTGAGTGCAGTGATCATGGCTGTATAAGCAGAGGCAGGCCAGTGTTAGTGTGGTAACATGTGTCGTACCTTACACACGCAGAGCGGCTGGCAGGGATCCTGGTTAAGGCTGCCTTCACTGCTGCAGTTGCATCGCTCACACAGAGGGAATCCCGTGTATCCAAACGCACACCTGTCACACTTCTCACCTGCATATCCCTGCTTACAGATGCACGAGCCCACTGCCAAACCTGCAGAGACAAGAAAACTCACCATTACAGCCTGAGCTCCCGCTCAACACACACACACAGGACATCTTTACTCAAACACACACAAACAACCAAGAAAGAAAACTCATAGTAGTAGTTAGTTATACTAGCTATCTTATAATTATAACAGTCTTAGCTTTAGGTTTTTGTGTCAATACAATGAATGTAAAATAAAGCATTCCTTAAAAACACTGCCAAACTTTTTGCCAGAATTATCTAAAAAAGCAGAAAGCAAACAGCAAACAAAAAGAAAACAGTACAGTACGAACAAATTAGAACATCCTCAAAAAGTGATAAATATCAGAAAGGTGAGTGACAGAGGAGAGTGGGGTAAGTTGTGATCATTTTTACAGAAGTTTTCCTCTAGGCAAAAGTACATGAGAGAGAGGTTCGCTACTGTATCATCTGAAATAATAAGGTCATCTATAACATTCATAAATGGAAATATGACTTGTGCAAAACAAAAGTGGTCCAATGACAGCTTGCTGTGTCATGCCTGAGTGAAACTCAATGATTTATATTTTGAATAAAAAATAATATAGTATGTATAAATAATACATCAACAATAAATTTACAATAAATACCTGTTATGATTCTGGCCTGTGTTACCTGTTTTTTTAAGTGGACTTTTAAGTTACTTCCTGTCTGGTGTGTCTTTGTAGTCTTTTTGTAGTTCTTTTGGTCTCCCTCATTTCTCCCTGATCATCTGCACCTGTGTCTAGTTAGTCTTGTTATCCCCTGTGTATTTAAGTCCTTGTGTTTCCCGTGTTCTTTGTCAGGTCTTGTCCTATGTTGTGTTGGCTGCCTCTGTTCTGTGCCTGTTTCTTAGTTGCTGTTCCTTGTCCTTGGATTGTTGTTTGTTTAATAAATGCTGCATTTGGATCCTACTCTCCCTCGTCTCTAAGTTCACCAACATAACAATACCATCCTCAAAATTTATTTTGCGACCTGTTGTTAACATTTTCTTAAAGACATCCAGAAAAGGTTAAATATTCAGAATATTTGCAGTGAAGCAGTTTTCCAAGGTACAACTATCAAAGTTGCAGGGAAATATGTCGCTCCTAACCTGCAATTTCCCAAACTTTGTGAGTTTATTTAATACGTTTTGGGAAAATCCTTTCTTGTCTTCTTAAAATGGTAGGTTTCTTTTTGCAAGTAAATTTGACTTCAACTACAGGTTTTTCAACAAAACCAGCACACTATCATTACTAACTGAATCATATATAGTAGCCTACATCTTGGACAAGTTTCCTAAAAGTTTCACACCTACAGCACACATTACAGACGTTGATGCACAAACGCAGATATTTTCTGCATGTCTAAAGTATATAGAAAGAATAAACCAGTTTTGTAAACTAATTGATTTAGCTTAGCAACTTAAAATACAATCTGCATGCACAATAAACCACGGTAAATGGTTTCCCCCATGTTTCACTTTTAATAAAAAAAAAAAAGAAAGAAAAAAAGTTTTTTCCATGTTTTAATAAAAATGTAGGCCTATTTAATAAAACTACTAATAAGCATATTTCTAGTATGCTTTGTTTATTATTAAAGAAACCTGGATTGAGAATCAGGCTCGTTCAAGTCCTCGGTAATACACACTCATGTGCATAATGTCAGCATCTCACATGTTAGAATCCTCGGTAATCCTCGGCAAACATCGACACTGGTTGAACTTGCTCATTCGGTTCTTTTTGAGTCGAACGTATACTTTGGCTGTGCGTCTTACATCATCACTAAAAGAACTAAAGTTTGATCAGTTCAATTTGTGAACCGGCTCAAGAATCGGACATCACTAAGGGCTACTGCCAGATCTTGTGTGGTGTTGTGTTTTACCTGCGGTGACCTGATTCTCATCTGGAACACATGCAGAGTGCAGTGAACCTCTCAGGTCACATGAGCAGGGTCTGCAGGGCCAGTGTTCGTCTGGACGCACCTGGGGAAATATTCACATTATGATGCTCAATTACACTGAGAACAAAAACCATCTGATTGTCCCTTCACTGAGCCCTGCCTTAAAAATAATGTTGACCCATGGCAACAGCTCAAGTCTAATGTAAGGTCGGATTTAAAGTCAGAAATGGGACATTCTGTCTGAGCTGAATGCAAGGCAGCGTAAGTCCTTGAAAGTCCTGTTTCTTGGAGTAGTCCAACACACAACTGTACAGACATTGCATATATATATATATATAT